ATCAGGATTGTAAGGTGCAGCCAGGTGTGCTTTGTCTGTACTAGCATGTATCTTAATGGGACCATTTACCTGCACTGCAGTGATGTTTTTTGAAACCTCTTTAACTCCGTTTTTCCTTGTCTGCGGTGTAGCCTGAGCAACCTCTTCCATGGCATGGACAAGAACACTCCTGTGAGGTACACAGTGTACTGCAGCCTTCTCAAAGTGGCCTCGTCCTGTGGTGCCATCCAGTACATTCCAACTGAACTAGATCAGGTAATTCATGTTAAGGCCTTCGAGTCGAGGCCTTAACTGTGTTGCACCTCACTGAACATTAGTCAGAGCTGATACAGGCTGTCTCTGTTACACACTGCCAGAGCCTAGTGATGTTGCCAGGAAGCTGATTAGGGAAATGCAACACCTCTCCTACGAGGAAAGAATGAGAGAATTGGGGTTGTTCAGCCTGGAGAAGAGAAGGCTCTGGGGTGCCCTTGTTGTGGCCTTCTACTTTAAAGAGGGCTTATTAAAAAGAGGGAGGGCGACTTTTAACGTGGGCAAATAGTGATAGGGCAAGGGGTAATGGTTTTAAACTAAAAGAGGAGAGATTAAGATTTTAGATGTTAAGAATAAATTCTTGACTGTGAGGGTAGTGAAGCACTGAACAGGTTGCCCAGAAAAGCTGGGACTACCCCATCCCTGGAAGTGTTCCAAGGCCAGGCTGGATGGGGCTCTGAGCAACATAATCTAGTGGGTGGCATTCCTGCCCGTGGCAGGGGTTTGGAATTAGATGATCTTTCAGGTTCCTTCCAACCCAAACCATTCTATGATTCTAAATAAGAAACACAGAATACAGAATTTATCTTTTAAAGGCCTGGCTACAGAATCGAAGTGAAGTTGCTGTTTATTCCTCATTTCTGATGCTGATCGTAGTTAGGTGTGTCTGTTTGATTCCTCTGATAGAAATCAAACTGAGAAGCTTTGATCAGGAGTGAGCAGTCAAGTTCTCGTCTCTTGCTCTGGAATCAACACGTATGAGAATCACTCATCCTTATTTAGGAAGTAACATGGAGAGCACAGACTTTTGGCATCTCACAGGAAAACTTCCAGGTTCTGCATGGAGAGCCTGAGACTCAGAGGACCTAAAAGAGAAATCCCTGTGCATGAAACTTAAAATCCTTTTCTAGTAGGGAGAAAATGAAAAATATTAACAGTGTTATTTTAGTCTTTACCCCAATGCTTCTTTTTCATTTGTATTCTGCCTAGGTCCGAAAATGGATTTCTGACTGGAATCTGGCCACAGAGAAAAAGCATACTCTGCTGAGACTGCTCTATGATGTCCTAGTAGACTGCAAGAAAAGGTATAAAATACAAGTCATAGATACTAGATAACTGTGTATTATAAGTTGATGTACTATAGGTGATCTATAAGGAAAGTGTTTCTCACAGCACTTTTAAAATTAACCTTTACTGATAATTCAGTCCAAATATACTCGGGTGGGGTTTTTTTGGTGTTTTTAAGCAGTCTTATATTAAATCAGTATTCCCAAGAAAATTAAAGTTAGTACGGAATTAGCTGCAAACCACAGACTCACAAAATAACACTATTCCTTTCTAGAAATACTAATCTTAGAGCATTGTAGCATAATGCCAAGTTTACTATTTAATTGCACTTCTGACATTTTAGTGCATGGTAGTGCTATCTCTTACTTAATGATGTGGGGAGGCTTATCAATCACAGCAAACAGAATCAGTCTTTTTAAGTAAACATTACCTTTAGGACAGAGCTTTCCACTAGTCATGGAAATTAATGTCCACAGAATACCTGCTTGCCCATTTTGAATTATTATCCTGGATCATCTTTGATCTAACAAACTTGGCAGACCACTGTCTTCTGGCATGTAAAGTAATCCTGTGTGTGTCGTGCCTGTAAATTAATGCAAGCCTTAAGTGAGAGCTGTCATCAGTTTATCTTACAGATGTGATAAGTGTATTGACTGCTTTGGCCAGGGCTGCACACATGGGCTGGGATCCAGTAGTGTCAGCATGTAGTTCCACAACAGTTGGAGCCTATCTGAACTGTCCCTGTAGTTTGGGATGGGGATGTGGTGTGTGTGTTGCTTCCCCCTGCCCTTCCTTTTCAGTCTATTTTCTGAGTTACTTTACTAGGTTTTTTTGATGTTTGTAGTGAGGCAGCCCCAGGACCTCTCCACTGCTCGCTCACATTGGTACCAGAACTGGGCTTGCATTTCCTACATTTGCATAACCTTGTGCTGCTGCAGAAGGAAGGGGTTCTGTCCTGTCCCCCCGTTCTTGCCTGTCCCCTCCTGCTGCCAGTACCTGTGTTTGTTCTGGTGTAGCATCTGTGTGGCTGCACAGTGGGTTGGGCTGGGGACGTGACCTTGCTAGGGGTTAGAAAAGGCAAGTGTGAAGCTGTCACAGGTGGAGAAGAGTTCCTTCTGTCAGACAAGTTGGCTTATTCTGGCCTGCTGAAATTAGCCTGGAAATGCTGCATCAGCACAGCAGGATCATCTTTAACTAACCTCAGTTTAGGGGTGATTAATCCTCACGGAGTGGTTACACTGTCAGCTGCATTACTGTGAATTCCCGTTGGTAACGTTAAAATGCTCTTGCGTGGACAGAACTGTGTGGCAGATCTCAGATGGCCAAAATAAACTCAGAAATGTTAATCACAGATCTCAGCCACGGCTTGGTGCTTACTTTGTTTCAGAAATATTACACTGATGATGCTCCTACTCTTTTAAAAATTTCTCATTCTGTTGATTTATTGTGAGGTTTTAACTAGTTTAACTCCCATAACCAAGAGCTAACTATGTTTAGCTAGTCTTGCTGTCAAATCAGTGGATTAAACTTCTAGGTTTTGTTTCCACTGCTGCCTTGTAACCTTGCTACTAAATGGTTTTTGCTCACCAATCATAGGTGATATTTTTAAGTTAGGCATTAAAACCTTCCCCAAACCCTGTAAGACATTACTCCCTCACTCCGTGTCCTTACCATCAGTTGCAGCAAGCTGTGCACTGAACAGAGCAGTGTTTCAGAGCGCTTGCTCTTCTCTCCAGAAAAGAAAACAAGAAGTGACCCTGGCACCTTTGACCTGCTTCACTCTCCTGGATCAGTGGGCAGTGTTTGCAATAGTATGGGAAACTCACAGCAGCATTCCAGCTGTAGCACTGAGGAATGTTGCTCTATCTAGCAGTATGGGAAGATAAGTGGGAACTGAAAAATAAGAAGTAAAAATCATATCTCAGTTATCACGTTGATTTTATAATCAAGGGAAAATAACTGCGTTATTGAATACAAATTAATTTTTTTGTTTGTGTTTAAACTTTGCTCAGTATGGCAAAGAGACGGTTTTTCATAGCTGATAAACTATCTCCCAGTGGATAAGTTGGTAGTTTATAGATGGGTAGCTCCTGAATGCAGATGTTATGTGTGGTATCCCTCTTCCTGTGGTGTCAGGTGAAAGCTTGTTGTATCAAATCTTTTCCAGCCAGCCTGATGTAGCTTCCAGCTGGTCTCTGCCTTTGACCTGGCAGGATTCAGAGCAGCATTAGTCCTGCCCAAGTTAAATTCAAACAGGTCTTGCAAGTCTGGTTATTCATACCTGTAGCAAAAAGCTCAGCATGTCAGGCACCTGCAAAGTAATTGTTTCATTTAATTTTAGTTCCATTTAATATCAGGTAATGTAGTGGGACTCCCAACATCCTACTACGTCTCAATGTTTTGTTGTGGGGTTTTTTTTCCTTCCTTTTATCTCCCATCACTCTTTAATTCTCACTGGCTTTTTGTCAAGTTATGCATCTAGATGGCAAGTGGAGCCAAGAGCACTTTTGTAAATGCTAGAAATAATGTTCACATTTGCATGTTAGGTGAAACACATTTAGCAATGAGCTTTTAGTAAAATAGTGATCTGTATTAGTCCTTATTTATGGTAGTAACCTGACACTGAATAGAATGAGTAAGACCAAAGGCCTGCCATATTTGCTGAGGCTCACAAAAATTTAGCACAGGAAGTTTGGGAGTGATTGTCTTGTAGCCTTCTGATGTTTCCTAGAGATACAAGTGAAAGACTCCACTGCTTCCCCACTTCAAAAAAAAAGAAGGGGGGTGTGTGTTGCAAATACTATTTGAAATTAGTTAAGTGATAGTTTTCAGTTTTTGCTCCTAAGGGGAAGATTAGGAGAGGAAAAGCTCCAGAAAACTGTAACATAGGTCTGAAGTGTACTAGAACAACTACTGGAAGCTTCTGTTAAATAAAGTGTTGTGTATTGTTAGGTTGAATAGCACGTGACCTGAGATTCTTTGTTTAAATGTCTATACCATGTCAGTATTAGACTAGTCCTTTGTCTCCACTGGAACATCTAGTGTTGATTTCACCAGTGCTAAAATCATAGTCTGTCCTAGGCTTACTTATATGTAAATGCTTCTCTCATATGTAAAGCTGTCTAAGTGATTTTTTTTCCACTGATATAGAGCTGTCAATTCCTCTACATAGTACTGGCTGCCATGACAAAACATAAGCTGACCTCTTGCTGGAGTTTTAAAACAAATGTTTCATTCAAGCTTACATCCCTGAACATGGTTCTGGAATGTTCTGGGACCTATAGAAAATTCCCCTGCCTTGGGCACAAACTGTCATCATTCAGTGGACATTCAGATTTTATAGTGCTCATGATGTGTTAATATTTGTACTGCACATCTCTGAGATCTGGTAAATTCTCTTAAGAGAACAAACCTCTCCCTAGAGAGTGGTTGTCAGACATTAGTATGGTGAGATTTGAAATAAATACCCATATAAAGATAGTGTTATTGTACGGCAGAAACCATTCAGACCTGTGCTGCTGTATGGGTTAAACCTCTGTCACAGCACAGAACATATTGGGTGTGTTGTGTTTTTGTGCTCCTTCCCTGTGCAGTTTATGCCATTAACTTAAGTAATTAAAGTGAATTGAAAAACTTTAGTCTTGCAGTTTGTTTGTTTTAAGGAAAATTGTCTATGCTTTTAGACCACGTAGGAAAAATTTGCTGTGTCTGCAAATGAGCTACTTTGAGGGGAAGAGCTTCACTTTACACTGCAACTCTGGAGAGTAGTATCCAGCCTTCCCCCACTGAGAAAGTACCTCTTAGGAAGGCAGTCACCAGTGTGTCTGAAAATTTTGTGAAAAGCATCAGCAGTTGCTGACCTCGTTAGTGGTAAATAAATCAAACTCTTGTTAAATGACACTATAACGGTCTCAGAGCTGGTTTGCAGTAACACTGATGTTGTTTACCAAATAATCTGGGTAGACAAGGCTGAGAATGAGTTGTTTTTCCAAAGTCAGTCTGCCAGAGCAGTGTTGGAAGCTGTTTGCTTCCCAGCAGCCTGAACCAGTTTAATTGCTGGCTGGGTAATTGTGTCAGTAAAACGAGCAGCTCCACTCTGAATACTTGAAGAGAGATTCTGTGAAAGAAGAAAGCAGCTCTTATACAGTCATTCTCCTGACCATAAATATTCCTTAAGATGTGCCATTTTACATTTGAAATAAACTTTGCAGCGCTACTTATTCTGCAATGATTAAATCCAGATGTGCATA